TTCTAAGCTTTGTTGTCTGGTTTTAAGGACTTTTGTCCTGTCTTCAGCTATCAATAGATTCATGTTCCGACTATTTGAACAGAATACTAACCTGTTTCTAGGCTTTAAGTTTCAAAGAAATATCCTTACCAGTTCAAAACTGCTTTTCTTGAAACCATCGGCTGATCTTGCTATTGAAAGTAGTTAGATTACTTATGATATTGTGTGACCAACGAAATGTTGGGGGAAAAGGGATTGAAGACAACTGTAGACAGCAGAGATAGTGTAATAAGAGAGTGGAATAGGGCAGAGGGCTAGACATGGGGTAAAAAACATATATATGAAAGTAGAAATGGAATATTATGGATGATAACATGCATTATTAAACCACTATGCAGTATATTCTAGATGGTAAACCACATTTAGAATGTTGTGATGATGCTCAGGGAATGAATGTAAATTAATAAAAAAAATTTCAGAAGAAAAATGATACGGAGATCTCTTGGAGACATCAGACTAGGCCAAGGTTCCTTTTTTTTTTTGACAGAATTATTTATTTAATTTTATTTATCATTATTATATTATTTTAATTTGAGGAGAGAGAGAGAGAGAGAAAGCCACCAGGTACAGGACTTAAACTTTTATTTTTTTTGGAGAGGCTTTCACTATAGGGCAAGTGTGCTCGCCAGACAGACAGAGAGAGACATAGAGACAGAAAGCGAGAAATCACCCCCCAGGGGGGATGGTCATGCCGCAATCCCTTCTCCATTCTCCTCTCGGGATCTTGGGCACGCACGCACATGCGCCCGGCGTGAGTTTTAAGCTACCGGGTCCGGGACACGAACCGCGGTCAACTACATGGGAGTCCAGCAACATAGCCATTATGCTAACTGCTGGTTCCCCAGGACTTAAATTTTGTTGACCCTGTGGGAGTCCAGCACCTTAACCACCATGCCACCTGCCAGCCCCTAAGCAGACTTCAGTAAGATCCCCAAAGCACAGGCAATAATTCTGAAATAGGCAAATGGGACTAGTCAGGCTAAAAAGCTTTTGCATAGCAAAAGACACAATAATTTGAATGAGGTGAGAACCCTCAGTATGGGAGAATATATTTGCAAACTATGCCTCAGCTGAGGAACTGATAACCAGAATACACAGGGAACTCAAGCAGCTTACCCACCAAAAAAACTTAACCAATTCAATGAAAAGATGGGCAAATGAGCTGAGCAGACAATTCTCTAAGGAAGACATATGAATAGACAAGAAGCAAGTGAAACAAATGCTCAACATCCCTTTTTACAAGGAAAAAGCAAACCAAAACCACAATGAAATACTACTTAACCTCAGTCAGAATGGTTAAGATAAAAAAAATGAAGGAATAATAAATGCCAATGAGGCTGCAGTGAAAAAGGAACCCTCCTACACTCTTGGTAGAAATTTAAGTTAGTACAGTCATTGTAGAGAGCGCTGTTAAGGTTCCTCAGAAGCCTATAAATAGAGCTTCCATATGACCCAGTAATTCTGCTCCTGGGTATCTACCAAAAGGATAGAGAAACACAGTTTAAAACATACTTGCAAATCCATGTTTATTGCAGCATTATTCACATTTGCTAAGACTTGAAATCAACCCAAATGTCCAAGAAGAGATGAATGGATTGAAAAAAATGTGTACATCTACTATGGAATATTACTAGCTAAAAAGCAAAAAAACAACAAGATCTTGCCATTTGATACAAAGTGGGCAAATATGGGAAATTTAATGTTAAATGAAGCAAGCCAGACTATGAAAGACAGGCATTGAATATCCCCACTCAATATATACTGAATGTCTGCACTCTATGGCAGAAACTGAGGGACTGGAAGGTATAACCACAGTGGGAGGTGGGGTGGGATGTAGATACTGGAGACAGTATAGGAAGGGTGGGGTACTGGGGAGTAAGAGAAAGGGTATGGGGGGGGGGCGGAAAGCATTTGTCAACCCTAAGAATGAAGAGTTATTTGTGGATGACAATATATATAATAATTAATATCTTTAAGGTGACTGATATGCAGTGTATTCATGCTGGGAAAAGTAATTTTTCACATTACAAAGATGTACAGTGATTAAATATATTTATTTTTTTAAAAAGTACACCCAAACTACTACACATTCAACTTATAAGATGCTACTATATGATTCCAAGTTCCAAAAGGAGAAAAATCTCATAGCCAAGAAGAGACACAGCCAACCCTAAGCTGACCTTACAGTCACATGTAATGTGCATGAGATAGCAGCGTTTGTTGTGAGCTACTCTGATTTGGGGTTGTGACACAGTGTAATCCAGTTATAATGTCATTTATTTTAAGCAGAAAGAGAGAGCCAGGAATACATTGTGTTTTGTCTTTATGAGCTTAGACTGTAAAGCCCCTGAGAATCATTGTTATTGGGGGTCTGAGTATGCACACCTGTGCACGTGCAAATGTTTGTCAGGTCTACTAATGAGTTATGAAGAAGTTGTACTCACTTATCTTTCCCTGTGTTAGGCCCATTTATTTTTTCTCATGAAATAATTAATAAGCAGTGGATAGGATGGAGCAAGAGAAGTGTCTGCGGTGTGTGGGTGAGGGAGCAGCGAAGGTTTGGCACAGGGGGTCACCCCAAGCAGGATGAGATGGAGGATGTGCAGGGTGTTGGCTGGGCAATTATATTGGAGCCCCAAAGAGTACAGAGAGCAACCCTGTGAGGTGAGAACGTGTCCGGCCTAGACAAGCAGAGCCTATGCATGGTGAGGATGGTGTCCACACATGTCAATGGCCCAGTGCAGGGTATCAAAAATATGAGGATTGGGGGAACCAGCAGTTAGCGTAATGGCTATGTCGCTGGACTCCCACGTAGTCGACCTTGGTTCGCGTCCCGGACCTGGTGGCTTAAAACTCATGCCGGGCGTGTGTGCGTGCGTTCCCAAGATCCTGAGAGGAGAATGGAGAAGAAGGAATTGCAGCGTGACCATCTCCCCTGGGGGGTGATTTCTCGCTTTCTGTCTCTATGTCTCTCTCTGTCTGTCTGGTGAGCTCACACGCCCTATAGCGAAAACCTCTCAAAAAAAAAATATGAGGATTGGGGAGTGTGTCCACAATAGGGGCACCCAATGTGGGGTTTCAGAACCTGAGAGGGGAAGAGGGCATGTCAGTGGTGGGGTGCGTGAGAAGGTCACCTTCTGTGGGGGGTCAGAACCCCAGCTGGGTGGGGGCAAAGTCCTTGTGGAGGGGCAGCCTGGTGTGGGATGTCAGCCTCTAGGAGAGGTGAGGAGGGCACCTAGGCACAGTGCTGGTGCAGGGTGGGTTGGGACCTAGAACCTAAGTGGGTGAGAACATAATTTTTGCAAAAGGTGGGCCAGCTATGGGTAAGGAGGGTGTCATTGTGATAGGGATGCCCAGTGCGGAAACTCAGAGCCTAAACAGGATAAGGAGGGCATCCTGCTGGGTATGGAGGGCCTGGCATGGGGTGTCGGAGCCCGAGCAGGATGAGGAAAGTATCTCTGCAGTGGGTAGTTCTGGTGATGCTTCAGAGACCGAGCAGGATAAGGAGTCTGTCCATGCGGTGGGGCAGCTCACTCAAGGTGGAGATTCAGAGCCCCACAGGTGAAGAAGGCTTGCACCATGGGGTAGTCTTGAGTGGAGTATTGGAGCCTAAGGGAGATGAGTAAAGGATGATCTCCAAGAGATGAATCAAGTAGATAAGTAAGTTAAAGATAATGAATGCCACCTTCTTATTTCAGGAAATATCTAGAAATAAGGAAAGGAAGAAAACTAGAATGAAATATGTGGTATTGGGCTGGACTTACATACTAGTATGAACTCACAGTTTTCCATTATATTTAGAATACAGGAATTTTAAAAAAATACCTAGAGGGGTGATTTCTGTGTGTATGTGTGTGTTATGCAGGCGAAGGAGGCATTAGTTGAGGGGATTAAAAGCAGGAGTATCACTGAAGCCTGAACAGGGACACAGCAGTAGTGCAATTAGACGCATAGGGAAACCTTCCCTGGTTTGAGCCCAGGGTCTCTCCTGTCCGCGGCAGGCCTGCAGCACCTGCTCGTGATCTGGGCTGGTGAGGCTTGGGTGGATCATGGTGTGGGGACCCTGTTGAAATGCTTGTCTCTCTCTCTCATGAAGAATTAAATGAATACACTTAAACAAAAGAAGAAGTTGGATCATTTGGGGAAAGCTCAAGGCAGAGGATCTGGTTGTGAGCCGGGAGAAGTTTGTGAAGATTCCCCACAGAAGATTTAATTTTTTGAGTGCCTTTCTCTTGGCCTTTAGAAAAAGTCATACTTAGCAGTCAGTTTACTGCTAGATTATTTAATTATTTTCCTTGTTGTGACATACTCATACATACCTGTTAGAGCCTGTTGTTGAAGAGACGTAAAGGGATGGGACAGAGAGGAATAAAGTCAGCCTCCTTTTCCAACATGCAATGAAGAGAGCTGCTTTCAGGAGATCTGGAGGTGACTAGAAGTGAAATGAATGGATTCATGATGGAGCTACTTAACAGCAACAGGGAGAAGCAGAGAGCACCGAGGAGCAACTTCAGAAGGGGTAAGATTTACACTTTGCCCTCCCCACTCTACTAGAGGAAGCTGATGTTGGAAGTTGGGGGGTGTATGTGTGTGTGTGGGTGGGAGGGGGGGTTGACATGTGACTTTTGTGTCAATGATCCTTTTATAATGTGGTTCCAAGGAGTTTCCTGATCCAACAAGAATGACAAGGTGAATGAAAGATGCTGAGTGCTTGCCCAGGTTGGTTGGTTGGTTTACAAGTAATTAATTCTGCATGTGGAAACACACACGTTTTGCTTTTGCTCTTGAGTTCACAGACCATAGACCTCAGGAAAGACTTGTGTAATACGTGGTTCCTCTTTTCCTGTCCTTCCTACTTTTTTCTCCCACTCTCTGGGTTTTGTGTGTGTGTGTGTGTGTGTGTGGGTGTGTGTGTGTGTGTGTTTGCATAGCAATAGATGCACATTTTAAAAGGCCATGATTTCCCCTGTGCTGGCCCTGCCACTGGATTTTTGTGGATTTTAGCATTTTGGATTTTAGATCTCATGAGATACCTCTCAGGGAAATGTGTGCTTAATGCCTCTGCTCTGACCTAATTGATTGACAGTTGGCGGACAATTTACAACTATATTTCTTCTCGTTTATGAGCTGTCTTAAAGAAGGCATAAAACTAATTTCCTGAAAAAAGCAGATCTCTTCAATATGGCTTTGGAAGCCACTTATGAAGAAGTAAGTTTCACAAATGAATCCACGTGCTCAGGCACCAGCTCAGCCTCTCCTGCAGGTAAAGACATATTTTGGCGGTTGGATTCCTGATGGGAAGAGGGAGGCAGAAAGGGCACATAGGGAAGGCAGAGGTGGTGTTGGCAGCTGGTTCTCTGATAGGTCATGTTGGTGACACAGGAGTCCCAGAACAGTCATTTGACTGCAGATAAAGATTAAGAGGCTGTACAGTTGGAAAGAGGGGAAGAAAAGCTTTCCGAAAGAAAGAGGGGAGGAAACGATTTCCGGATGCCGTCTTTAGCCTCGGCTCCTCTGACTATAAGAAAACTGGAGTATCAGAAGTCACCTTCGTCCCAAGTTAAGGATGCTGAAATGCTTTGCTCCTGTGTTTGCTGATTGAGGCTGTGAGCGAGACACTGGGTACAACTCCTGAAGCCATCAGCCCGGTGCAGGCGTTACTGAAGAAATTAGTGGGAACTGTTTTCGATCAGTCAGAGGCCAAGAGTTTGGGTGGAGGATGAGGAAGGTGTGTTTGTTAGTGTGAAACAGGCATAGAACAAAAGCCCGTTGCAGATGGAATACTAGACAATGTTACAAGGAAAGCCCCTCACATCTTCCGGGGAGTTGTTCTGAGATAGGAAACCTAGCTCGTGTTGCATCTCCAAAACAGACTGCATGAAGTTTGGGAGCAGATAGAAGGAAACATGGGTGGCCCGTGTGGGGTCAGATCCTGAGCAAATAGACAGAGCAGACGGAGGGCAGGAACTGTGAGGGTAAATGGTCAGTGTTTACGATTGTAAAACACCTCTTGAGGCACCAAGAGCAAAACGGAAATTTTTTTCTTATTTTAAGAACTTTATATAATTTCTTTATTAAACAGGTAACAATGTTCATTAGAAAAAAATATAACCAGAGATATATAAGTAAATTTTACTTACTGTTACTATCTTGAGAAAACCCTATTGTTTATTTTCACGTAAATCTCCCATGTATAAATATACATCAGTGTATATATGTATTTAATTGTATAAACCAAATTATATTATATTATACTGAAGTTTTATTCACCTCACTTGACAATATATTTTACCATAAGCAAAACCAAACCAACTTGACAAGGTGTCTGGAAAAATGACTGTATTCTAAAGGTGTAAAGCACTGTCAGTATAAAGATTTTTACATCATTTGAAATGCCGTGTAGTTAGTGATCGTGTGTCGTCCAGGGAAAGGGAGAAGGAGAAAGGCAGAGAGGAAGTGTGGACGGACTTTAATACTCATTGGACTACTCTGGCTTCTCCTTCAGCACCCAGAGAGAAGAGCTGCCTTCACAACAGTAACTGTGTTTTTTCCAAGCTGCTTTTTGCCTCATTGCTGCTGCTGCTTCTGTTACTGGCAGCCTCGTTCCTTCTGGGTGTGGTCAGTAAGTATGCCGGCTCTGTCATGAGCAACGTCTGCCTTATGCAAAGAGGAGAGATCCACTAGAAACTGACCTATGGTGATGGGTTCATTCAGAAATCTGAGAAAGCAACTTTCTCTGGGGAGATGTAATTCATGAAATTAAATATGAATTTTCATCTTAATTATTTAGTTACTCTCCTGTAAAAATAATGGAATACATTCTCATTAAAAAAAGTCTCTGTACGTGTTTGTGAAGGAGAATGAAATCTATGGCACATCTCTATGCTAGACACTGTGTGAGGACACATCTGTACTTCCTTAGTAGTTTTTTTAGGCCTCCCTTTTAGGCCACCTACGGTATGTCACACAATGTGCTGGCCAGAGATCCCAGACAGAGACAGTTTCTGCGCTCAAGAAATTTAGAGGGTAGTCAAATGGACTAGTGATCACAACATTGTAGGTAAGTGTTGTGCAGGTGAAAGTAAGCAGGGGATTGAGGTAGGCTTCCTGCGGGTGGTGGGGCGACATCTATAGCTGTGTCTGCAAGGATGACATAGAGAGTTTTTATGATGGAAATTGAGATATTGGAAGACATGGCAGCATTGAAAATGGTTACAGATTCTGAAGACAGTATGGGAGGAGGGTGTGATAAGGGGGGAGAGTGTAAGGAAGAAAATTAATAAGGAAAATAGTGAGGCAGGACATTTATGGGACACAGAAGTGGGTTATTATCTGTTGATGATAATGTATTTAGTATCCTCTACTGGACTGCTGTGAAGTGTATTCGTGTTGGGTAAATTCGACTTATAAGGAAAGTGATTCAATGTATAAAGTAAAAATGAAATAATAATAATAATAATAATAATTAGTAAAAAGGAATGACATAGAGACATGAGAGAGCATGGACAACTTTGAAGAAGTGTAAGTAGTGGTGTGGTGCTAAGTGAGGAACTAAGAAAAGAAGTCGTAGGTGGGACACATAAACAGGACTTAGATCGTGAAGAGTGGTGGGCCATAAAGGAGTTTTGATTTTTTTCCCCCAAAGGTTATTTTATCATTTATTTTTTGGTACTTGGTAAACCAATCCAAAATGTAGTGTATTAAAACAATGGCTGCATATTTAGTTCAAAATTCTGTGGCTGGGGAAATTTAACGTCTCTCCGTTTGGGG